TATCACTCCTTTTTAAGATTTTGTCTGACAGAGTGAATTTGAAAACATAAAAGCTGTATGAATGCTGAAACATAAGATTGATATGCACTTGTGCGAAGTGTGCTATCTCTGATTGCTGGTTCAAAACTGTGCTTGCAACATGACAAACCTAGCATCAAAGTCAAGGAGTGCTGGCTGTGAATGGTCAGATTGGTGGTCAACCATATATTTTTTTCTGAAATGGTGTCATTTTGGCTGTGATGTCATCAGAGACAGACTGAAAAAAACACACAGCTTGTGCTAACGGCTAAACGCAGAGACTGCAAGTGCAAGACAAGCAGAGGGTATAAAAAAAAAATCATACAGTTAGTGCTTCATTGGAAAACATAAACAAACAGCTCTCTCCAGACTTATAGGCTGTTCGTCTGTTTAGGCAACAAACCTGAAACATAAGCCTTCAAAAACACAGCCTTACAATATCCCAGATGTACATTCTGGTTAAAACGTGTTTCAGTTCAATTCAGTGGGATAATGGCAAAGGTTAAAGCAGCAATATTTACACTAGTGCAGTAGTTTGAGTTGTTTTACTTTATCTAGTGTTCACTGTCACCACATGTCAGCAACAGTCGTAAAGAAACCTAAATATTTGTCCAACAGTTTGACCTCACGGTCATCAATGGGGCATCGACTGTTAAATAAAAATAAATAATGAATGAATAGTTTTTACTCTGGAGCGTGACTTTTGTAACACTTCATATGGACTTTTCAGGTCAACTGCCCATTGTTTGAAGTCATAATATTTACTCAATAATACATAATATTTTACCGAGGTCAAATATATGGTGAATGTCCATTGGTTACTTACAAGAGTGACTAATGGAATGGAATGGGTGCAGCTGCTGTAGACACGTGAAGGGGACCACATGAATTCACTTTCACACTCAATGTCACCTTGATGTACGGAGCAAATATGTCTTTATTGAACTTTAGTGGCAGTCGATTGACATGAGCATCATCAGAATCGCTGCTGTTGCATATTTTCTCCAGCAAGTTGTCCTTAACGAGCAATCACATTCACTGTAGTGAGCGGAGGACATTTGTTGGACACATCGGTCCTGTGACAGCTCAGCGTGTTTGCTCCTTAGGTAAACAAGGATGTTGTTGATTCAGCAATATTGCTAATCGATATTTTCTGTCGTTCACCAACTGGTGATAGATCACACAGGAGGACCTGAAATAAACAAGGATTAAAGTTGATTTTATAGGTAGATTACCTAACCCAGCCACTGAGAGAGCGGCATTACTGAGGGACTAAGCACAAAACCGGAACCAAAACAACCTCGGTTTCCATACAGTTCTACATTTCGTAGCAGTGGTGGCCCAGGTTAACAATGACTTCCTGTGGAGCTGTTCACAACATGGCACTGAAGAGCGAGGAAAAACGTTAGAGTAAAAATCCATCATCCTTTACTTTTCTTTTTGATCAATAGAAACTCCAGGTCAGGGATTAAGAAATAAAGCTTGTCAGGAGCCAACTATGGAGCTTCCTTGTAACGTCTAAAAAAGGATACAGACTGACCTCAGAGGTCTCACTTCTCCTTTTTTGTTTGCTTCAGTTTTTATCAGACATCAGCAAATGTCGCCCTGCCAATGAATTCTCGTTGCAGGCACTTTTGGCCTTAGACCAGACTGTTTTCTGCTTTTAATGCCCTTTAGAAACTTTTTATCTTTACATTGATTGACAATGGCATGTCTCCAATATGAACCCGAGCAGAAATGGAACACACACTGCTATGATGAGCTCTTGTTTAAGGTCAACCAGTCCAGTGAGAAAAAACAAAAAGTTTGATTTGATTTTTCTTCTTGTCTTGTTTTGTTTGCAAATGCATTGCAAGATTAATTTAAAAAAAGTGTAAATACATATATATAAACAAGATAACTGCACTCCCTGATGTGAACTACTATAGTTTGTTCTCCACTGTTTCGCCCCAGAGTCAGAAAATGACAGTTGTTAGCTGGAGCAATTTAGAACAAAGAAATTAAAGAACCTGGGATGATGCTCGGTACACGGCATCACAGAGCCAAGGTCAGACAAATTAGCCTGTCTAGACTCATGAAAACATGAAAGCAGAAAGGATGTAGGCTAATAATCTGTAACAAATTGTACAAATTCGTAGATGTGGATGGTACAAATAGGAGTGAGGTATTTTAATAATGCGCACATCCAGGCATTTTATCTGTCTTATCTATCTTTGTTTGTTTGTCTGACAAAATAAAAGACCATCAATTTTAGCTGCTTTCTTTTTCTAGACCTGTGTCTGACTCCTGTGGTATTATGTTAGTGTTTCAACCTAACATTGTAAACAACACAGGCTTACAGTTACAGTAACAACAATAGTGATAAAAATATATATGTATATATGTATGTATATATTTATATATGTATGTACATTTATTTGTGTGTGTATATATATACGTATGTATATAGTTATATATGTATGTACATATATTTGTGTGTATATATGTATATATGTTTGTATATATTTATATATATGTACATATATTTGTTTATATATATATGCCTCATATGGCAAGGTCATCCAGCTATATATATATATAGCTGTATATATGTGGGGTGGCTTTACCTTGATGCTACCTTACCCTGTACCAAAACAAGTGTCAGTCAGTACTCTAATAAACTGTGAGAGAAAAGAGTCATCCTGCCAACCGCTGCCTTAAGTGGGTCGGCTCCTCTTTCTGGAGATCACTGTCTTTGACCTAATGGAACTTTGTGGCATTGGTCTCTCCCAGAAAATGAGGACAAATGGATGCAGTCGACCTTAAACATGGCAGTAAAAGGAAAACAACAAGGATGTAACAGGTTAAAAGTAAGGTTAAAACTTGAAAAGCCAGGTTATGTTTGGTCACATGACACCCACACACGTATTTAGGGCTCAACCTAAGGTAAAAAAAAAAAAAAAAAAAGCGAAAGAGCTAAATGTGGTGCACTTAGTGAGTGTAATAAATTTAACATAAAAAGCATCAGGCGACATCAGGTTGGAGTCTAAAAAAATTAATCTTCTCCGCTCATCAGAGAACAAGACATGACAGCCCAATTACAACATCCTCCACTTCTTCCTCTGCTTCGTTTTGACAGAGATTACTGAGATAAAATGGATCTTTGATCAACGCTGCGGAAAACAGGTCTTTGACCTCCTCTGTCTGTGAGCAGTTCAAAGAGTCGAAAGTGAGACAATATTGATTTTTATTTTTCTTTCATGTTGGACAATGATATAAAAGACTTTTATTATTCAGTTATGTACCACACTTCCTTTTAACCACAGCTGCTAAACCTTTTTCACACCACAAATCAGGTTCCTGTCGGCTGGTCTTCAAGCTGTGGTGAAAAAAAACAAACAAAAAAAACCGCACAGTTCCTACATTGACTTATCACCTTTATCACCTTCCTTTATAGTGTAACTTGGTGTGTGGAAAAGTGTTTTGTTTCCACTGGATCGCTTGTGTCAAACTCAGGCCCGGGGTCCAGATCTGGTCCACAGTGTAATTATATTTGGCCAATGAGATCATATCAATCATCATGTGTACTAGAGTTGGCTGATTTTGTAGTATTATCGGTTTATGCACTATGTCATAGCATGTGTTGGCCTGTGAAAAAAAATGTAACCTTAATAAGAAACTAGGAAGGCTTAAGATTAGGAGATTCAAATTTAATTTCTCAAGTGTTTATAATATTAAGCTTTGGTTTTTCCAGATTTTTTTTCCAGATTCTTCTTCTTCTCTTTCTTCTCCTTCTTGTGTTGAACCTTTGCTAATTAACAGTTGAAGGCAGCAGTCAACGGATGGCCAGAGTCCAACATAAGGACCAAGTGCCAAGTTCGGTAAAATCTCCATTTGCAGACATCTGAATTAGTATTCAGAGAGTTTCAGGAGAGCACCGGAGGAATCCCAACCTATTCTTCCTTTGTGATTCTCTTCACTTCATCTGGGTCGAACCATGTTCTTCAGTTTACGCGACCTCGTCTGCTACATTCACTTTGATTCTCCGGAGACGGTTCCTCTGTCATTATAAAATATGGTTTGCGTCATCGTGTCACAGGAGACAAAACAAAAAACAAGGTCCAGTTCTGCTACTGACTTACTGAGGTTTTTTTTAATTTTTTTTCCTCTTTCACAAGATTATTAACAACAACAACACCTCCCCCCCCCCCCCCCCCCGGGATTTGACTGTGGAGGGAGGTGTTCATCAGGCTGTAGTCTTTCCCCTTTTTATCTAGATGTTATTAACTTTAAAGTACTAATTATTTTCACTTTGAGTTTTCTAAAAGTTTTCATTCTTTTACTGTTTGCCATTAGGCGTTCTATGCAAAAGCACTGGGAACATTTTTGCTAATTTATTCCACCAGTTTGTTGGACTGTATTTCTTCTTTCTGCTGTTTTTTTTTGTCTTTAAATCGACTCAAATGTATTTTTCAGAACATAATAAGTGGAATCATTTTCCAGTAAACTGCTGTATTGGAACAAATTGAGATTATTTCGTAATTCTTTCCTTCCTCATTTGTTATGACGGTGAAGTCCAAATCTCAGAGGAAAAAGAGCGAGTAGGAAGAGCGATCTTTGTTCTTATCACTTCAGAAACCTGTTGTGCAACAGCCTCCACACAGGATGCGCAATCTTTACTTTGTTCTCGTCTCCGTTCTGACTGGCGGTACGTCGATATTTGGTGTTTTTAAAAAAAAAAAAAATTCTGTCATCTGTAGTGTAGGTTTTCTGAGAGGATCTGTGTGAGGTTGCTGTTGTTGGCATTACATCACAGCGTTATAAATGCAGCCTGAATTTCTCTGCAAATTTCAATTCCTCTCTGTCCTCCGCAGTGGCCTCAGAAATCTTGACGGAGGTCGGCGGCCTCACTGGACATAACGTCACCTTACCCTGTGTGTATGACGTGGACTCTCATGGCGTGCTGGATTTCTGCTGGGGACGAGGAAAAGTGCCCCGGTTCAAATGTTCAGACACGTTCTTGTCCTCCGAGGACCAGTCTGTCCTGAACGAAGACCCGTCCAGGTACCAGGTGCTGGGCAGCCCGACAGATGGAGACGTTTCACTGACTATCGTTGATGCTCAGTGGAGTGATGAAGGAGTGTACGGCTGCAGGATCCAGATCCCCGGCTGGTTCAACGATATCAAAGTCAACATACGTCTAGTCCTGAAGCAAGGTGAGTCTCACCATCGTCATCATTTTACAAGTTTAGGTCCAGGTTTGATTGTGTTGTCATTTTTCAGCTCCTGTGGAGGAAATTACTACACAGAAGTGGATATCTGTCACAGCTGGGGATTATCAGCGCCACCTAGGTGTAAATTAATGAAGTTTTTTTTTTTTTTTTTTTTAAAAAAGCTTGTTACATAAACTTTCTTTTAATCCCATGGTAACTAAAGTTTAAAGTCTTTCCAGAAAAGTCGACCTCAGCACTGACGTCCACAGGTGCTGATCAAAGAACACTGAGCGCAGTTGAATTTGTGGTGACACAGGTAATGTAATATTATTATTTATTTATACACCAGCAAATATTTATTGAAAACCTAAACATAATCTGAAATTGTAAAATCACAGGCTAAAGTGGAAGATGGAAAAAAAAAGTTTATTAGAGTTTTGAAACATTTGCAACTTGAATTCAAGAAATAATAAGTAATATTTTCTATTTCTATTCTTTATTTTGCTACTACTTGGTTAACCAGTTTCTCTGACTTTTTTGGTATTTCTTTAATGGTATCTAATGCTCTGACCTACAGTAGCTTTACTGCCACAGAGCCTTGACGAGTTTTCATTTAAAGTACAACATATACAGTAAACAGCATGTGGTGACTCACCGCGGATAATGTTTTTATAACATTTTGTTGAAATATGGTTCATTTTGTTTGCAGAACAAATTCAACGCCTTCCTGGATGTGGGGAACGTTGTCAGGATGGGTGCTATTTTCTTCTCCACCATCATCATAATCCTTGTTTTTATTTCCCGTAAGTATTAAGAGTGAGTCATTTGACATTGGAATTAATTGAATTTTTAAAGCTGTGGATTGTATTTTATTGATCTGTTCTCGTGCTGACGTGACTCATTTCCCTATTTTGGGTCCGTGTAAACGATTATTTTCTTAGATGTTAGAGGAGGCGGTGATCGAGTCTTTACAAAGATGAGGAAATGAAGGGCTTCAAAAAATTGGCAGTATTTTCCCTTTAAAATTAATAATTTCCTCTGAGATACATAAAGAACAAAACCAGTATAAATAATTTGCAGCTGTATACAGTATATTTATACATATATATGTATAAATAAATATATATGTTTATATGTATATATGAATATACACATACATAAGTATTTTATCTATATAAATATGTATAAAAAGACATATAAACATATATGCATATAAATATACATACATATAAATATATACACGTGTATACCGATACATTTATATATACAAATACAATATAAAGACATATAAACATATATGTATATATGCATATAAATATATACATATATACAGTAAAGTACAAACAAAAAACGAGTCTTGTTGAGTCATTTATAACAAAATGATCACTTTCTGGGTTTAGAACAAAACTAAACTCAGATCCGAACTCCTTCCACGGATACTGTGGGAATTGTATTCGACAGGGAGTCGTGTGTCAATAACAGGGATTCATATGTAAATGCTGATAGAGTCGCCGAGAGTCCAGTCACTCCTGCTTCACCACTGTTTGCATTTCTCCTCACCAGAGCGGAGGTTTCAGCCTGGTGTCAGACTCCAGCCTGTCAACACTTCAGCTGCCGAGAACATTTATGAAAGTATCCCAGCAGCATCACAGCGATGGTGACTGTTACATCCGCAAAGGACTTTACAGTTTTGTGTGTGTATGTGTATGGGCGCGCGCGTGTATTATATTATACTCGAGTATTAATTCAGCTCACTGTGAGCCCGCACTTGTGCGTGATGGACTTCGCCGCTGGTTAAAACTTGAAGAAACATTGCCACCTTCTGGTCTCATACACACAGGGAAAATATAAAATATGATATTTGTTAGGTCAATATTAAAAATGTAATATTTTCTAATGTGAATTAATAGATAGAGGAGCGCAATTATTGATGAAGATCTCCATTCATTGGGTTAGTATGAATGCGTCACTGAATCAATTCAAATCTTGTATCTTTCACAATTTATTTGGTTTTTAAAAAAAATTTTTTTGTTGTTTTTTTTCACTCGGGAAAAAAACTGTAAATATACAAAATTAATTAATTAATTAATTTAAAAAAATCTTTTAAAAAAGTCAGGTTTGTTCAACTCAAATGAGCTGAGGGCGACTACCGTCCACCATCTTCCTAATGAGTCAGAAGTGATATTTTTCCTTAACATTCTTGACATTTGTTTTGGTTAAATGTAATCCTAATACTTCAAGACATAAAAACAAAGTCAGACACACTGAATATTCTAACACATAATGTTATTGTTCTAACCAGTACCTGTACAACAAATTACCATCATTACCTAAATTTCTGGTTAAGGTCATGCTAAGAATGAACTTAAAAAATAAATAAAAATCAAAATTCCATGAGAATTATCTCAAAATGTCATTTTCATTTCTGTCTTTTATTTCTCACATATTTTTTAATGAATTTTGCTCTTTATGTTTCTCTTCCACTTCCTGTTTTTATTTAATCTTCTGACAATACTCCTACAGTCTAAAAGCAGGATTTGCTGCTGTGTTGGGTGTGAGGTTTTTTTTAAACAAATAACTTATCTGAATCCAAATTACTCATTTAAGTAATTGCCAAAAAAAAAAACAGTAAAAGTTCCGACTGTTCGTCAAAAGTCAATATTAGTTCCAGTTTCACACTCAGAGCAGCCACACTAAATTTGGCTAGTGTGGCTTATAGTTTGGTGTGACTGGAAAATACGGTATTAAAAACAAAGAGCGTATTTGAGATTAGAGGTTTTAGGTTTGGTGTTAAGATTAGACGTTGAAAGTGTTCTTTTTTCTTCTTCTTTACTTCTGTTGTCTTTAATGCCACAGTGCATCCGTACGTAGTCAAAGAGGAAGTCTTGTGCTGTCCTACTGAACATTCAGCAGGCTCAGCTCAGCACTTTCTCAAAGTAAACATGTCCCTCCAGTAAACTTTCACCAGTTCACTACGAAGGTGTGGACCACAGCTCTAAAATCACCCCGTGCTACACTCCTCATCGTGAAGACAGACTTAGATCTCCTACTCAAAATGAAAATAAGATGGAAGAGAAGTAGAAGTACACCGCATGAAACTCTCTCACCTTTCCTGCAGGTGGTGCTGCTCATGCAATTGATGTTCCTGTAAACATGAATTAATTAACTACCACTGAATAGTTTGCCATACCGTCACAGATAAACAACCATTCACACTAACATTCTGAAATATACAGGATTAGGAATAATAGGACAATAATATGACTAAGTCTAACATTTTGTGTCTATAGGTGGCGCTGTGATGGACTGACAAACTGTTCTGGACCCTGAGTCATTGGTTGAATACTTCATGGCTCTGAACAGCAGGCAGGAGTGAAGACCAGTCGTTGACCTTGATTCCGTTTCTGTCTAATCATCAAAATAAAAATAAAGGTGCTCTCATGTTAAGGAACTAAAACCACAGAAAAGGAAACAGCACGTTACGACATTCTTCTCCTGCAAGCAGAAGTTGTTTGTGTGAGCATATCAAGGCCAAACATCATGTGATTTGGAAACATTTTAAAGCTGCCACCACTGCGGTCTGGTCTAGTGTCACTCCACAGGGGAACTCTCATCGATACAGCTTTGTAAAATGACTCCTTGGGGGGCGAGGTTTCTTCCTTTGTGCGGCAGTCTCCTGTTTCTCCTCCAAGGTAAAGATGGTACAATGTAATTTTTTTTGTCACCTGAACATGACTGTTGTAATTATTGTACAAACGTTCTGCATCTGCAGACCATGTGTCCTCAGGGAACATCATCGCCGCAGTTGGAACAGATGTTACTCTGAGGTGCAACTACGATGCTCAGAAGTACGGACGGCTGTATGGTTGTTGGGGCCGAGGGGCCATTCCTTCAAGGGGCTGTGCCAATGAGGTGATCAGGTCAGACGGGATATCAGTGGTCAGCCGGCAGTCAGAGCGCTACCTGCTCATGGGTGATATTGTTGAGGGAGATGTGTCCCTGACCATCAGGCAGGTGGAGGAGAGCGACTCTGGGATTTATGGGTGTCGGGTGGAAATTCCAGGATGGTTCAATGATCACAAGCACGAGCAGAAACTGACTGTAGTGGCAGGTGAGATAGCCACAGAGAAAAATGTTACTGGTGTTGTTGCTACTACTTAAGTACTCTATATGCTTGTTATTGCAATATGAAGTTTATGCTCTCTTTAGCACTTGATACTTTTGCTTCCCTTCAGTGCCACCTAGTCCCCTGAAAGTGGAAGTCAAGGAAGTGAAGGAGAGAACGGTGACGGTTCAATGGAGTCCAGTGTTCAACGGTGGCAGACCTATCACATCCTACATGGTGCAACTGAAAAACAATCAAGGTTCGCTGAGAAATAAGACTCACCATCACATTACCGTAGCATGTCGTTTGGCCTCTAACTGTACGCTTTCATCACTGCCGCTCAGCATTTTGGAATACTGCAGTAGTAACTGAACTCCACAATCCTGCCTTGACTCAAGTTATGTTGATGGGTTTGCGTCCGGCCAAGACCTACAACCTCCGTATGTTTGCCCACAACATCATCGGCCAGAGCAACAGCAGCAATGTCCTGACGATCACAACCAAAGAAGCAGGTACTTAGTTAGTTTTTATAGTTTGGTTATT